ATTCGTTCCATGAGTTTGCCCTGGTGGCCTATGACGAGCTCGTGGCAGTGGGCTTCTCGCCCGAGCAGTTTGTGAGCCATGATCCACTCACTTGAACGCATCCACCCACCACATACCATGACACAGTCATTCATCAATCCGTTCGTTCGTGTGTATGTCTGTGCAGGACGACGACGGCGGCACGAAGCGCGTCAGCAAACAGGGCGGGCAGAAACTCAAATCGTAAGCGGCCGGCCAGGCCATCGATCTACAACACAAAATGCAGCGCAGCACCGCCATGCACATTCTGTCCGTTCTCTCTCCTCGCAGCTTCATGAACCGCCTCCTGTAAGCAACTCGAACCGGCGAGCATTCAGGCCTGCTTCAGCACTGTGATGATGGACATGGTTGTATGGCTGGGCTGCCTCCGTGTTTGTGTGTGTGTGTGTGCAGCATGATGAGACCTGCCATCCAAAACTCGTTGTTTGAGTGGTTCATGTACATCCTCGCTGACAAAGAGGCGGAGGCGTAAGTCAACCAGTCAATCACCAAAGAGAAAAAGGACACGAAAATGCTCGTCTCCCTCCCTCTGTCCCTTCTCTGCTGACTGACTGCAGGAAGCAGAGCCAGCGCGAGGGCACCGGCGAGGGCATCATGGACCTCAACAAGGCCTTCAGGGGCCTCTCCACCGCCAGGCAGACCGTCACATTCGACCAGCACGAGATCATCGCAACCGACCCCGAGACAAACGCAGCGACAGTCAGCTATTGCACTGTGTCATCGAGCCGCTCATCAAACCACTCTCTCCGCATGGATTTGTGTGGGTGGGTGGATTGGTGGTGGATGCAGTGGTATACCAAGGTGATTGTTAATCGAGGCATAGCCTGGGAGGACGCCAAGAAGCTGTACCTCAGTGTGCGCGACGCGACAGACAAGTTCGGCAGGAGGAGGGCTCCAAACGAAAAGGACCGCCCAGAGGTCCGTGCGGAGCCGACACACATCGAAAGGCAACACATCACAATCACATGCCAACATGCCATCGTTTCCCGTTGGTTGTTTGGCGACCAACACATTTTTTGAAGGGCTTCTATTGGTGGTGAGCGCACATGGGGCGGAGTGCATAGAGACGATCGATTGTGTCTTGATTGATGCATTTGATAGGAACATGCGGGGTGCCCAGCGCAAGCTGCCCATCCTGGTCGTCCAAAAGAGAGAGACATTCGCCAGCGTAACAAACAAAGGCACACGAGAAAGGGCAAATGTGCCGCTCTCTGTCTCTCTGACTCTCTCTGAGATGCATGACTGCAGGAGAAGACATACATGTTCTACCAGGCGAACCTTGGCGCCAGAGAACAGTTCTCCGGCTCATTTGGCAGTAAGTGTCGTGTCTTGCTGTGCCGCTAGGCCCATTCACCTACACACACACACACACATCCATCCGTCCGTCCCGTCTTGGCTTGTGCGATGTAGAGTTGGGCGTGGTGACGTACAAGAACATCGTCAACATGAGAAGGAATCGCGACATCGACGTAGACGGACGAGAACTCACTCCGCAAAAGAAAGAAAGGACCACCTCCCTCCCTCGTGTGCGTGTTCGGTGTGCAGAAAATTCCCATCAAGAGAAAGGTCATCCACGGCGACCTTGTTGAGGACTTCTCCGAGATCGCACCGCAGTGAGGATGGATGGCGATGCGGTTTGTGTATGTGTATTGTGGACGTGTGTGTCGTCTCCAGCTGGACTTCATGGTACGAGATGGCCGACAAGAAATGCAGCCACATGTAGGCCCGGCCCAGCCCCTCCCTGTTGGCAGACACACGAAGCACCTTGTCCTCCCTCCCTCCCTCCCTCCCTCTGTGTGTGTGTGTGTGTGTATGTGTGTCACAGCCAGTACTTCCCTCGGCACAACCACCAACTCGACAAGGACGGCAACCACGTCACCAGGTATGTTCACACACACAGAAACAGGGACGGCGGATGTGCGTGTGTGTACGCGCATCTTCATATTCAGGGACGGGATCTGCACCCACGGCATGCGCAAGGCAGCCACCCAACCACCACAGCACAGCACAGCACACCACACCACAACACACCACATGCTTCCCCTGTGTCAACGCGCCTATTGAATTTCTATGCGTGTGTCTCTTCTGTCAGTTCGACACCCACATCATCTCAGGCAACATCATCAACTCCTTCGGCTACCTCGACAAGGAGTTCCAGACCGACGTTAACGACGAGCCCGACCCCAACGACACTTCAGCGGCTGCAGGCGCCAAGCCGCTCAACGCATCGGCCTACGCAGCCAGGATGAAGGAGGCCAAGCTGGCACAGCAGCAGGCCGCCCAGCAGCAGCAACAGCAGCAGGATGGCGATGACCCTCAGAAGCCGCCCAAGAAGGCCCGAGGGGGGGGAGGGAGGGGCGCGTTCTTCAAGACGGTATGCATGCCAGCCGCCCGACACACGACAACAACACACGCGACATATGTGTTATTGTGGTTGTGCAGATAGGTGGTCGTTTGCAGATCAGCCGCGCGACGGAGAGTGTCACGCAGCCGGGGGAAGCAGGTGGGGCTGACTGACGCACGTCCATCTCACAGAGATGCCTTCATGAGTGTATGTGTGTGTTTTGTGGTGTATGTCAGGGCCCCGTTCGGTAGTTGGCATTCAGATCGACGGCGACTCTGCCAAGGACACCTGCACGATGGTCCACATCATCGAATCCAACTCCATATTCAATCACGGTATTCAACATGAGATCCACGCCGCCCCGCCCCGCCCCACCCCCACAAGAATCCTGTAATGTATCCATCCATCAGATGAGGATGACGACGAACGTGAGGCGAATGAGGACTCGGATGACGAGGGGGAGGGATTCCAGGCTACTGCGGGTCCGTACGGCAGTATGGACAGGCAGACCACCTTGCACCATTGTTGATATGGGTGTGTGTGTGTGTGCAGATGTCAAGAAGAAGGTCAAGATAGCGAAGGTCTTCCGCGACCTGCTCAAGGAGGAGCCCAACGCCACACTCAAAGAATGCACCTCAGAGATCCAGGCAAGCACGCAACCAACCACCCCC